CTGAAAAATTGATAGATGTACAAGACTGTTCATCAGAAACATGCTGAACTGGATGCATGGTTATAAATATTGCAGCTTCACCCTTGAGAATTAAAAGTTCATCCTTTTACTAGCATTGCTCATAATACAGACTGTGATTTTCAGAAACTCCATATTCTTCAGGACTTTTTTTAAATATTGAAAAATAGTTGCATCAATCTAATACAAACATTAACATCTTTATCTAAAAGGCTGTCAAATCTCTATAAAACCTACAGCAGATTATGATATCAGAAACTTCAACCTGTCAATCATTCAGCAAGGTTATTAATGGCCCACCTGTCATGAATAATGGAGCTGGTCTAATGGGAAAGCAGTGTTCAGGTTGTGTAAGTGTTTTAGAAGTTCACCTTGAGAGTCTGTAACAGAGACACGACGTGTCCAAACTGTCGTGAACAGTTCACACCTGGAGTGCCAACACAAAAGAACCTGTCATGGTGTGTCCTGTTCAGGAAATGAAGTTTAACAATGGGATTTGGGACAAGCATAGGATATGAGCAGCAACGATGCTGTACAATGTAGGTCTTTATCACCATCAAGGTCACTACTTTACAACCACGTTCCCCTGATTTAACAACAAGGTCAATTCTTTTAACAACAAGGTCACTACATCATCAATAAAGACATTGACACCTTGATGGACTGTGTCATGCAAAAGGCAGAAAAAAACAACTAGGTTAGAAACTTTCCTAACCTCTTTGATAAAACATATGTTTGAAAGGGAAGGAAAAGCGACAAGATAAAGTAAGTACTTTTGCTGATTTTTTGAGGGGAAGTATTTCTTCTGTTGATGAACTTTGTTTCACACAAGATAAGAACTTTTACTTGTATCTTGTCATTAATTAAATCATGAATTAGGTTGCCATAATATTGGTACAAAATGAAGTTTTCAAAATAGAATCTTTTTGATAAAAATGATTGAACATTTGTCTAACTATTGATGAATGCTAAACAAAGTACTCATCTGTTCATCATTATACATATATATCTCTGCCAAGGGCCAGCTCTGTAAACCATGTAGTGCTGATTCCCCACTTTCAATGGTGAACATGAAATATTAAAGCCATGCGCGTCCACTTCTCCCAATCCACTTAGCCCAATTCTGCTGCAGGGAAAATCCATCTCCTCCATTCACGGCTACACAGTGCAAACCTCTGCAGCTTTCCCAGGCGTACTGAAATCTGCAGGGATTTGTGTGTTTGAGAAGGGGATCCAAGAGACCTATATTCAGCACGGGCTAATTGGATGCACCAGACTGTACGGAAGGGTCCACATGTTCACATGGAACAAACTTTATTCGGTGTGTATAGAAAAAGTAATCCTTTCTACTTACTTTCTAGTCTCCTGGTTTTGCACCTGAGTAGGTGAAGATTTGCAGGTGAGATTAGTTTGATAGTCTATTGTGCTATCCAAGCTTCTTCCATCCATAACAAATGTGAGCAATACTGTAATGTTAAAAAGTTATGTAAAATCTTCTCAAGTTGATACAAAGATTATATCAATAGTCAAAAGTATCCTCTATTTGACGTACGTATACATGGTTCCATGGTGAGCCTTTGGGAGTGATGAAAAAGTTTGCATACATAGTCTAACAGTTAGACTAACTTAGAGAGGAAGTTTAAGAGGATAAGTGTTCAGAATCCTGTTTTAAGACGGCAGCATTCCTTTCCCATCCTACAGTCCTGACCCAATAGTCTGTACATGCAGACAGGCTGGAGATGTTTGAAGTCAACAGGATTATCTCTGTGTGTTTGGTTTACCCAGGGATTATCCAGGCTGGTATCACTTACACATGGTCATACCTGTGCTCAGCCACCTGTTGCAGGGCTTTATTGGTTATCATTTATCCATGGAGACTTAACTGTAACTCCTGATTTTTTTTAACCATAACGTTATGATGTAAGAGTTAAGGTTAAAAAGTAAAGTCCTCCAGAAACTCACAGAAAAGTCCACCAGAAACTCAGCCAATCATGTGACAACTTTGCCAGTTTCAATCAACTGAAATTCCACACACAACCGTAAAACACAAAAGTGACCCCTGAGATTTTACCTGTTGTACCTGGCTTCCCATACCTGCTCATCCCTGAATGTTCATATGTAATAGGGTGCTCTAACCTTGTAGGATATATTTTATTATTGATTGTAAGAGTTGCAGTGTATTTCCTGGGACATCCTGAGACATTCCCTGTATCAGCAGCCCTATACTGGGAAGGAGTGGGCGACCTTTGAATGACACTTCCTAATGACTATCTTCCCAGGGGTCTAGGGCAGCACACGTCCAGATCGCCTGGCCCTAGCCTTATTTGGGCATGTCCAGGGACTGGTCAGTAAGATCTTAAGAAAGGGAAAGGATGTGACTCAGGATGATTGTGATACAAAGAATGTAACTTTTTCCAAGAAACCTGTGTGTAGGCGGTGAAGAATATAAAAGCCCCTGCACTCATGTAGTTATAAGAGTTCCCGTTTGAGAGAGAAGAGAATACAGACCACTTTCTACGTAGCTGTCGGCTCCTGTGTCTTTCTTTCGGGTCGTACATCTACAACATCGGCGGCTTATCTTACGAACTTTGTAAGGGCACCCATCGAGGCTTAGCTACCATCGTCGTCCTTGACCTTGGCACCCTTACACATACACCTGTTCCAGCTGACTTGCTGCACACCTGGCCAGGTATCATACCTGCGCACTCCCGGATGTTCCAGGGATTTCCCCCAGCCGGCACCCATTGAGACAAATGATACTCCTGAGCAAACACATGGATCAGATGCCATACAACCTGGCATCCTTTGATGAAGCTCTTCTTCTTTGCAGAGGGGATCAACATTGTCTCCTCATTTGTCTTGTATTTTTGGGGATGTGAAAGTGGAGGGACAGTCTTGTCTATTCAGCAATTAAATGAAAATCAAGATACAGAGAGAATTCCCCTTTGTTCAATGACAATATTACTGCACTCTAAATATCCTTTCTGGCTTCTTCTTAGTGATCTTTTACTCTGGCATTTGTGGTTTAGCTTCATCAGAGCACTTCTTACAACAATGTCAGAAACATCAGTCACAGAAGGTCAATGAAATGAAACAGGTTTGCCAATTCTAAATCTTGATTCTCAGTAGTAGAGAGATTCTCAAAACTGATGTATCGGTTAACTTCATTTTGAGAGTCGTGGCAGGAAATTAGCAACATGTACACATCTGCTGTGGTTCAAATCAGTGACATGTTGCCTGCACCATTGCTAATGACCAGGCATTGCTGCAGGTGTGGTTCTCAAGTTTGATAGTCCACAGCCTCACTCACTCACTATTCAGGATTAGATTATACTGCTGCTGCTGTTGTCCCTGCCACAGGGGTCGGCAGCAGTCTACTCCTGGATAATATCAAAGTTGAAAGTCGTGTTTAGATCTTGGAAAAGTTCAGAAATTTGAACCACCGCTACCTTAGTGGGTTTTGTATCAGCTGTTGAAATCAGTAGAAAGTTTTTTATGGGTGCTTTAGAAGCAGTCTGCACCTGGAGATAGTGCATTAGAAATACAGTGTGTAGCGCAAAAACTTTTGACACTGATAATACAAGTTGCGAAGACAATATCATAGATATTGCTATAAGATGCACTCAGTGTTAAAAAATACCATGTTGAAAACGAATCCACCTCATACTCATAGGTATTTTGGAGATCTGTAGCATCTGCTAGTATAGCCTTTAGCATAAGAGCAATAAAACACATAGCAACCATTGTACCAACTGTTTTACATCAAGGAAAACCCAGGAGCCTTGAAGACTTGGAATTTTGATTGGCAAAACTTATATCAGCTCCAGACATCAACAGGAAGGTTGAAGTTTATTCTGAAGCAGACGCCTTGAAAATCTTGCATATCCGCAAAACCTAACGGATCCTGAAACCAGCATACACGAAATTCCTGAAAAGTGAACTGCCATAGAAGAATGTCATTTGAGGATGTTTTGTTACATTTTGTATTAGTGAGGCAGCTGAAAGATTAGTGCAAGGAACACAATATTTTGTCCACCCAACCAAATTTAGTGTCAGATGTCATTCAATGAGTTTTGTTCCATCTAGATTTCAGCTTTGGGGACACAAACATGACAAAGAAATGTTTAACTTATGCATGTTATAGACCACAAATGCAGGTGAGATAACTCTAATGTATAGATAATGCTGTGGTGTTTCAAAATTTTGCACCAGTGCCTTTTTCTGATCTTGCATATCTTGCATATCTGCAAGCAATGCTTTGAAACACTCATCATTTTTTAAACTTTATTTTCTAACATTTGGTACATGACCAATAGATCTAAGGAGGTTGAATTCTATGTACTACTACCAGTAACCAGTCCCAGGACACATCAAAATGAATGTCTCCTCATCATGATCAATGGGTAAAGCCTAAAATGGCTAAAGGTGAATGATTGCATAGAAAAACGCACAATGTTAACGTTACACAAGAAAAGTTATTTGGCTGCCTGGTTTGATGACATCGGCTCAATAATCTTTGATGATGAAGAGCAGCGCAATGCCTTGTATTTAACCTCCTTGGCCATACTTATTCAGCTTCTGGGGCGTCGTAGTAAACAATAACAAAAGAGACCCCTGATTTGCATCAAATTACCTCACTGCGGAGTATTCTATTTTGTTTGGGTGTCTACTGTTTTTGATAGATTTATGAAATGTAACAGTACGAAATAAGTGCCACCTAGTAAAGATGAAAAGCAAACATGTGATACAATATATTTATTTGTATATAAAAGACAGGCTAATGTGAAGGATTTCTGACACAAAACATACATATACTACGTTACATCCACCCCCATTGGACTGTACCATGTTTGGTCTCCCCAGCCTACCACGGGTGTCCCTGCCGTGTTTACTCTACCGGCACTGCGGCTGAAAGTCGCGGCGCGGAGTAGTCAAACTCGCCCGGCTGAACCTTCCCTCGTGTACCGCAGGCGTGATCGCCAACATCCACACCTTCTTCCCGCACGGTTAAACATTTCCTGCACACTTGGGTCTTTCAGGGAATTCTTTGGGAGCATCGCCCTGTTGTTTGGTGAGTACGTGTTGTTATGTGGATGGGTAGATCATAGTTTAGAGACAAGCCTCTCGTGGGCGAAACCGGTACCACAACTGGCCTCCACTCCAGTGCGAAGTTACAGCTGATCTAACCAGTATAGCATGTAGGAGTCAGTAGGACTATTCAACTAGAAAGCCCAAAATTACAGATCGAAATCCAGACACAATCACCTAAACTATCTCTGGAAATAACCTAGTGGATTTTGTTCTCACCATTTTTGTTGTGGTAATTAAGTAGCTCTCGTTGAGGAATTCCGCTGTCTTCTTTGCTTTGAAACGCTAATCAGGGTAATTTTTAGATGATCAGAAACTTCGGACAATATATAAATCCTTCCCTAGATTTTCCGGTTGCTCCTAGCCTCTCCAAAGATTTTCTGTGGCTACTGGGGGGAAAAATAATTGGTAACAAACAGTGTTAGCGTTGTTGTTTTGTTTGTGGTTTATGTTTTAGCGTCTAACAAGAAACAGCTTTGCCATATAATTTGTCAATACACACCAGTACACAGCCACAAAAGTTATGGTGGGATTTAGGGGCGTGAGTTGTGGGGTTTTCACATGTCTTTGTTAGATCTTGTTACTACGTGTGACAAGCACGGTGATTTCTTATCTATAGGATCATGTTAATGTCGCTATCGGGCGGAGAAGATAAGTGTGTATCAGTAGCGTCAGACTGGGTCGGCTATATTTATTGTCCAGTCTTTTATGTAGGGTATATTTTCACGGTAAACTGATGCCGCTTTCAAGCTGATAGTGTGGTGTTCACAGTCGAGACGAGACCTTTGCCATAGGAATATACCTTTTTCTCATCAGATTGACATGGCTTTCCGATGAGGTGCTTGGGACCTGATACATGTCAAAGATGGCTGGCATTTCCTACTCTGCTGGTGAAGTCATGCGTGGCAAATTTATCTCAGGCATTAATTCTGGACTGCTGCCTTCTACTGCAAATTAATCACGTCAGTAAAATGGTATATCTATCAACAAAGTATGATTTTACAGACCAAGCAAAAGTGTTTTCTTATCCTTTATCAGTTTGTTTGTGTCAAGGTCTAATTTCAAAAGTTACACATTTGTTACAGTAGATACCCAGCTGAAAAAATAATCAATGCTTCACCTCTGCGCTGAGGTCTGTTTTTCTGCTGACATGACATGGACAGAGGTTTTCTAAATTTCCAGGCATTTTCCCTCAATCAGACTTGCCCCAACAGGTTCCAAGGGCACATCCCCTAGGATACATGTTCACCAATCCAGATGTTATGGAGGATATAAAAGGGGTTTTGGCAATTTTCATCACATTCCACATGCCAACAGGGAAAACTTGACTTCTTTACCTTCAATTTTCGTCAATACTGGTCTAGAAGCATAGAGAAGAATGTATGAGTAAATTCAACATTCTTAATAGACTGTCAGCCTAGGTACTAGTATTTTCCCATGTTCCCTACAAGACCCTTGAGTAACTCTATCTGAAATGCATTTATTTGGATGTACAGAAACAGTTTCCTGGAGGTACTTTCCAATAAAATCAATGATCCTAGTCCATAAAATCACTGAAAAAATTCAGCACTGATTTAACACATGTGTGCCTGATTTATCAAAGTGCAATTCTTTTTAATATTGTTTTGCGGTTTTTGGAGATGCTGTTATTGTAAGTACTGCTCTGCCTGTAGGAAGGTAGAACACAATATATGCATCTACTTAGTTCAAACTGGTACATGTAATGGATGCTCGTTATTCCTGGTTGCCAGGCTATTGTACATTACCACCCCTGCCCAAAGTTGTCTGTAGGGACCCTACCTGCTGATGGAAGTCCAGCCTATGTGGAGACCTTGGTAGGGCTCACGTACTGTAAATCATGACTTTTTTGCAGTACTTTTGTATTCGCAGCTACCTCTGTACCCCAGACTTGTCATTACCGTGTTGAAATAATTCCACCGGCTTTCCTTTTTCTGTACCTGCTGCCACTGCAAACACATATAACTTCTGTGAACATGTCCATTTATCTCAGACCACGAACTTTTGTTACTGCAAACATAAAGTGATTTACAGTATCCTCTACAGTACAGTGGTACAGGTTTCAGGTCTGGAAGCCATCAGACAACAGACAACATCCTTGTCAGGATGTAACTGGAGATGTTTAGTGTGTCCTCTGTGGAGGAGCTGAAAGATTCTATCTGGAGATGTACAGTTGTGCAGTTGTATGTGATAATATGATATGAAAATTAATGTTGTGTCATAGTTAAATCAGTGTTGTTTCGAGGAAACAAATTTTGTATTTTCTGGATATGGAACTATGTTTATTTCAGGGGGGAGGGCTTGGTGAAATGTATAATCTTCTTTAATCCTGTCTCTCCATAATCACCCAAACACCATTAATGGGCTGTCCCTGAGGAGCATCAAGAATATGGGATCAGAAGTGCTCTGTAACTCGTTGTTTCAGAAAAATAGCTCAGAACGAATGTGTGTGGTAGATGTGTGTGCATAGGTGTGGAATTGAAAAAAAAATAGAACACTTCAAACAAGTTTTATTTATCATAATATGACAAGCCATTATAGCTAGTAGATAGGGATAGAATTTGAAACATTAAAACTTAGAAAATCAATGATGTTTTATTGTATTTCGGACATAATTTTTTGAACTGGCATTGTATTGGTAAGCTTTATAATATGAGTTACATGGCTAGCACTATCTAAACTATATAATGTACTCCCCTTCCCCCTAGGCATTGTAGCGATCATTTACTTGACACCAATTGGTGTCAGAAAGGTCTATCAGCAGTAATGAGGGTGTGTTGCTATTCAAATTTTCCACCCCTCTGGCAACTATTGTGGGTTCTTATTTGCATTTGTGCTTTGTTTAGAAAACTTGTGGTTTTTGCATGATAATGGAGGCAATGAGTAAGTTGTTTCCTGGACTTTATCACACCAGTATGGTCAAAACAAATACATACATTCCCTTGAAATGTTTGGAATGTCAAATGTCATCTGTCAACATTGGTTATCGTTTTGTGATCTTTGTTAGATGCTCTCCAGACAACGCAGGTAGATGTGCAAAGGTTAGGTGTAACAGGTCGGTCGGTAAGCTGCTGTGGCACAGCGTGCATTCAAGTCTATAGATACAGATACAAAGCTTGAAGATATACTTGGGGAAATTGTTTGTTAAATGTGCAAATAGTGTATCTCCTCAAAATTAGCCTGGGTACCAAACACATAGCACACTGGACACGAAGTATCTCAGGCTACTCAAAATGGCTTCAGTTCAAAAGACTGTCCTAACTTTCGAGGGAACAAAAGCGGTGATTTAGACTTGGACTTACATATTTCTGACACTTTTCAACCTTGCTTATCTTAATTGTTAAGACATGCCACATCATTTGAGAGGACCAGACATACCAGCACCCCATGTTATCAGTGTAATTGTCCAGTGTAGAAGATAGGGCTAGGGGCCTGAGTTATGCCCCAATTTTGATAGCAAGAGATATAGGAATTGAAACAACCCTGTGAAGAAGGTGATATGTCTGAGGTGAGATAAGGGCATTGTTAGGTTTTGATCCATTGTAGAATTATTCAGTTATCAGCACACGTAAGATAGATAAATTTCTTAAAATGTTACTGCCAAAAGGTACTAGTAATAGCCAAAAGGTGGTATAGGGTAAGTATACCTAAGGAGGTTGAAAAAGTGATTTACTAAATTTACAAGCAACCTCCTTGGTGTACCCATAGTGATTTTCCACACACAAAAAATTATTTAAACAAGGGACTGTGGGTGACTGAGATTTTTTCAACATAACGAAAGAACCACAAGTTGAACAAAAGGAAGTCTGCAGTTGCTGCCTTCAACAATGCCAGGCATTGATTCTGGCACAGAGAAGACATTAGGCATTGGTCTAAAGCCTCAATTGGATTACAAGAATCAATACAGGTACAGGTACATGTACATAGAGCTGTGCAGATTAGTCAATGTTGTCAATGCCTTTACAACTTTTTAGCCAACAGAATTACAGTAAAATTGGTAAGAAAGGTTTTTTCAGTCTCAAAACTTGTTGCTCCCTTTTAAATCTACTCAATCATGGTACAATATAGTAGCTGTCGTGGGTTAGCAATGTAAAAAAAAGACTTCTGTATTTGAGAGCTGCTGAAAGATTTTGAAAAAAAAGACTGGACTGTCTACAGACTACTGCAACCTCTTGTGTAGTATCAGTATTCATAGGTACATTCTATAATTGGTTTGTTGCTACTCCTCAGTCAGGAAACAGCTTCTTAGGAAGGAATGCTTCAGTATGAGTAAAGTCAAGTGCAGGCCTGTCCAGAGGGCTGGGTTCTGATCCTGTTTGTAGAAGGAACCTGATCTGGAGGGTAGCAGCTTGGGTAAAGTTTACCTTGTGAGCAGGAGTTGGGAAGGCTTTTGTGTCTCTGCTGGCACAGTGCCAAGTGTTAGGAGCTTGGGAAAGGCACACAAGTGGTCTTGGCTATGAACTGTGAGGGGATTGAGAGACAGTATCCCTGTGTTCCTACACTGTAACCATGTTAGGAAAGGTCTGAGTTGGAGTGATACTGTAACACTCCTTGTAAGGCAAGGGTGCTTCCAGAAAGAGGTTTTTGTGGCTGACAAGAACCTCTGTGAGAAAGTTACACTACTTACAGGTTTACAGCTGACAGATGTTGCAAAAAAAAGAGCACATGTGAAAGGTAGTAAAACTACTGAAGGGTCACAGATAACTTAAGAAAACTTTATTTCCAGAAGAGTATGAAACTTCCTTGCAAGTCTGAGATGATGAAGGATTGCTCTGAAATATATGGAGTATTGAGTAATTTATAAGGTTTTCAAAATTATATCAGTTTGTGTTACCGGTATGTAACTTGAGGAGGTATTTTCTTCTTACAATGTATATTGTACAAATACCAGCCTTTAGGTTTGTAAGCCCCTTTAAGAAAAATTTGCAGCATTTCAAGTAGGATGAGAACTGTAAACAAAAAGCCTGTCTAACAGGAAAATGTCACAACTGACACAAGGGCTTCTTTACACAGACTCTGAGAAAGTCTGCTCAGAAAACAGAAGTACGTACAACTTGTGCAAATAGCAATGGACACAACTGGTTGTGACAGTTTCTCCTGTACAAACTTGTAAGACATTCAGTAGGATGAGAAGAGTACACAGAGGCACTCGTTTGTGGAGAAGTGTCACAACATCTTCCCATGGAAGAGAAAGGCACAGCCTGGCCGCGAAAACAAATGACATGTCATGTGGTATGGAGTTCCCATGAGAAAGTTTTTTCCCTGACCAATTAGGTCATGAGCAGATGTAGACTTTCTCTGATCAGTTAGAACTTGGGACTTGGAAGGGATAGGTAGGTTGGCTTATAGCTCTTCTCTATTATGTAGTCTGTAAGTTTTAATCTAATTTGAAGATGTTCAAGCAGTTAAATCATTGGACAGATAGGCCTTTAATTTTATATACAGTATATGAATGGTCATTCATGTTCTAACATATAGCTAATGTTAGTGTCCATGTAATTATAAGTTACATGAAGATTTTTCATAATCAAATACATGTATATAAGTTAGACTGTACATTGTATTAGATCGTTTAGAAATGGGTTTTCTTAGAAAAGGCATTGGGGGGTACAAAATGTAGATGAATACTTTCAGTATCAAATATTTGAGATTGACTGTATTAGGTCATTTAGAAGTGAAAATTTTCTTATAAAATCCCACTTAAATTGGAAAAGTTCTGGAGAATACAAAAACTGTAGATTAAGAGCAAAATCCTTGAAATAGTCTTACAGCTCTTTCCCAGAAAATAGCCTTGTCCAAAGTCAGCTCAGAGTTGCAGCCTGTTGTTCCAGTTGTTTGGCTCAATCCGATGAGATTTTCTACACATCACCCTTTGTGTGGATGGTAATATTCAAGGGTACTGACCCATTAAGGCCCACTGATAATACCCCTCCAGTCATACAGTTACAATCATAACAACAACCAAACTACCACTGCTGTCTCAAACAACATAGTTGGATAGTTTGTTTCTTTACTTGTGTGGAAGTTTTCTCACAAAGCAAGGAATTGTGTTTTGAGGCTTAGCCTTTCTCCACATGTAGAAGTTCAGTAAATACTAGTACTGTACATGTATGTCCTTTTACTTTGTATGTAATTTTCTCAGTTGTTGTCGTTATACAATAGTTTTATTATCCCTGGAACTTACATGTACTTGTGTACAAAAGAGTTAACTTGAGAAGAAAAGCTTGTATTAAAGGTAGAACTAGAAACAAAAAGTTCAGCAATAACAACACTTAAGTTAAAGATGCTTGTTCATATCAACATGTACTTTAAAGACTTAAAAAGGAGTTTATAACTAATCTAAAAGCTATAAAAATGTGTCTTAAAACCTGATGAGCTGTTGTTGATATGTAATCTTACAAAGTGGCAGTACTTGGCTCTGTAACTGTTAATTTTCTCCCATAAATACTAACATTAAGCTAAGTTTTATGTACAACTTGAAAACCATTTATACGGCACTTCAATCAAGTTGTAAGGTAACTACTTTTTATTGTTGACATTCAAGCAAAACAGTACCAGGAGTGGGATAATTAGTAACAGAAGTTTAGCACTTTATGTTGTGACATCTCAAGTAGTTGCCATGCTGTTAAACAGTTTTTAATTTTGCCTGAAGTGGATATTTTTGCAGTCAAGGTACACCTATTGCCCACATTCTTTTAGCACACATATGTATTAAGTCTGTAAATAGATAAACTTACTAACCATTGAGCTATTTTGCTTATTTTTCACATTGTTGGCATCTGTCTGTCTGTTTATCTTGATGAAGTACCTACAAGCAAAGGTTATAAACATGTCAGTTGTTGACAACACCAGTCTCTAACAAGGCCAACAGACTTTGACCTTCTGGCCATATTTAAACAGCAGTTTGTACTTTGGTAATTGGGGCTTAGTGTGTCAATTGTAAGCAATTTTGAGAGCCCACTAGAAACACTTGTGGAGGTATACTAGCAATTAATTGAACCTTGAGTGTACATTAAGATATGTCTTTCGGCAGATTCCTCTGTTGTAGTGTCATTTTCCCATTTTCCTATACAGTTTGGTGTTTACGGTCACAGAAGTTACAAGTAACAACTGCATTACTCTCTTCTTTTGTAGGGACTAGATCAAGTTTCTGGTCACAGAGGCAACGGGCGCCACTACTTAGCCTGGAGGGCAAGGAGAGCTGCAAGGTCCACAGTGGATACTGTTTGTATAGGGTCACCTATCAAAGTCAAGAGGGTTGAAAAAAGCCGCAGCGAGAGAGGACCGTTGGTTGGAGGTGTGTTGACCTTACCGGACAATGTGCTTGAAGTAAGTAGTGATTGGAGATTGGTGATTTTGTGGTCTGCTTTGAGAGGCTAGGAGATTTCATTATGGCTGGGATGAAAAACATCAACCAGCACCTGCGTTCGCTGGAAAAACTGAGTCTGGACTCTGCTAGTAATTACTCCACCATGGAGAGTCTGAACGGCAGTATCGGGTATGGAACTGGAAGCAAATCGCCAACCAGTCACATGTCGTCCCACATGAATGGAACCCTCACGAATGGAGCAGGCTACAGCGAAAGTTTCTGTAGTGTGAAGAGTTCGGTCCCAGATGATTACGAGTGTACAGATCGTTATACAAGACTGGTTGAAATTGAGAACATCCCCTGGACTGACCAGGAGATATCCCAGGTGATCGAAAATGGACAGGGAAAAAATGTTTGCGACAGCGTTTCAAGGGACATCATACAGCGACTGTCGTACTTGCTACAGAGGCCACTGGTAAGGATTGTCCGTGAGGCACAAAGACTTGCCATCCGTAACTGTAAGTGCACGCAGCACGACATGAAGACAGCGGTCAAGCTAGTATTGTCACGGACTCTTGCAGAAAGTTGCATCAACTCGGCCAAGAAGGCAGTGTCGAGATATGTGATGACGGGACAGGAGGGTTTTCGCGTCAGCAAGCGTACGCGAGCAGGGGTGATCTTCAGCGTCGGGCGAATGTACCGATGGCTGATGGACGTTGGGGTGAGCCCACGCCTCCAGGACAATGCAGCAGTATATCTGGTCGGAGTGATGGAGAAACTGCTGGATGAGATTTTCCTGCGAGCTGTGTGCATGCACGTGATGGGACGGGATGACGAGATGTCGGTGAGCGTGGAGCTGTTGGAGTATGGGATAGCGAACGACCCCGACCTGTGGGGCATCCTGCAGCCCTTTGAGCACCTCATCTGTGGACGGGATGCAAATGGTAGGTGATCATCTTTTGTTGGCCAATTTCTCTGTTCTTTTTACATACATTTTGTATAGTAACTGTTGTACGTTCCATATAAGAGGTAAAGTTTCTGATTGAACTGTTGATAAGTAACATTAACACTTCCAGCTGGCAATGCCTGAGCCTGAGCCAGCTTTTGGGGGTGCTGTCCTTGTCATTGACTTACCTAGTGATATCATTGCCAGAGCCCTTGTTGTTATATGACAACTGTGTTTAATGTATTATGGTCTTATTGTAATCTGTCAGTAGCTCCAGTTCAGCTCCAGGTGTTCTATGTTGTAAGGAAAGGTTCTTGTCCTGTCCCAGTTCAGAAGCATTCCTGTGGTACTGTGAATCATTTGTGCGTAGGTGAAGGTTGGTGTCTGGTGACATCTCTGTCATTGATACCTTAAGAAGCTAGATTTTTCAGTCATGACTTGAACAATTGCCATTGACTTTGAAACCTGAGATGGAAATTGAAGTTTAGCCTGGGTTTACCAAAAGAAGGTTTCTGAGCCTTCAGGCACCAAATTTGCATTTGGTACAAGCATTGTGCGTTGTATGCTATTGAATTTGGAAGGACTAGCGGAAAAAGGGTACATGGACAAAATAGTAACAGTTTGAACTAAGGAGAAAGACAATCCTCACCTTTTTGGTTGAACATCAAAAGATGCCGACTAGGTCATTGACGAAGTAACAGAAGAGCAAGGGCCTTGGAAATTTCGCATGTTAGGATCTACTGCCTAGATGGTGTTTTATTCAGTTTCGCAAAGAAAGTGTTTGTTTAGCTCTCCCTGTAATTCCATTGTGATGTCCAGGGCAGTCCAACTGGCTCCAGTAAGTAAAGCAGGAGACGCCTGTCTCCCACCCAAGGCATGAGACCATGTTAGTGTAATCTCCCTTCAATAGAATTAGGCCAGAAAATTGGCTGACAAAAGCGTCCAACACACAAGAACCAGATTACCTACAGTGTGGGGGACCTGCCCTGCTTTGTTTGGGGCTCCCAGCCCAGCCTGTTCTGCCCAGATCTCAGCCACAGTTGTCCCAAGTGTTGTGCTTGTCACATTAGTACATTGGCTGCCCAGTAATCTGTTTTGAAGTTCAATGCTCTTGTCGCTTACCTGTGCGTATCCTTTGGGCCTAGGAAAAAATTGTTGTGTTTCCTGTTTCAGTCCTGAAAAAATTAGGGTCAGTAGGTAGGGATTATCTTTTTTATAGACTTTGGCAATCTCTAGTGATCCAACTTATATAGTTAAACAAAGTAAAACTTGCATGAAGGAACTTGTAATATTTTCAATGTCAATGTTGGAAAACCAGTGTACAACGTTTCATCATTCAGGTGTCAGGTCATGGAGCTAGAAAAGGTCAATCATCTCGAAAAAATTTATGTCCCTTGCAGCTAGGGGTCTACTCCCCCAAAAAAGGCTAGGGTCTGCGTTTTTTTCAAGGGTCGGAAACAGGAAACACAATATTTAGGCCTTGTGTGATTCTTGAAAGGAATAAGTTTACTTTGTGATTAGCAGTAGAACAGTGCTGCAGTTGTTACTAGAGTAAGGGATATATGTGCATAGTTTAAAGACATTTGCCGCTGTGATTCTGGTAGGGCAAGTTCAGCCCACTCATCCCTCTGCAAGTCAAGTTCAATGCTATCCAGGTTTCAACATAATGAATTAAGGAACCTGTTTGTGATGTATCAATTTCAGTTTTTGCCGCCTCTTCAAAGGGTTCAAGGAACTTGTACTACTGTACTCCTTCCAGTATTTGTACTTCCCACCAGTACATTATAGGTGTGGCCCACAAGTGCAACCTAGCAAGTTTGCAAGCATGGCTGTGCTCATAATTCATCCTCATGTTCAAGGACAGTTTATTTGTGAAAGAGGCCATTAGCTGAATAATATTTGCCTTTCCCAGTGTGAGGTTTGGCAGCCGAGTACAAGTGAAAAAGCTAACATGTCATTAAAGACTGATAACGGACAAAAAACTTGTCACCATGGAGTGAGGTATCACAGACTAGCCAAGGAGGTTATTTACTCTCGAGGGTCTGCGTTGTTTGTGTTTGGTGAGGAAATTGACAATTATTTGACGCACAAGTGAAGGGGAAAGTAAACTTATTAAGATACAGGCTTACTAATGGTCTGAAAAAAAGATAAGGGTGAAAAGATTCAATTAACTAACTTGATGTGTTTGGAAAATGTCATTATGACGACGTGAGACCAGGAGACACTGTATGCAAAAACTGCCGACAGTGCTTCTCTTTCAGATGATACAAAAGAACAGGCTACATAACAGTGTTTTCCTGTTTACAGTATGTAAACAGTAACTCAGTAAACAAACTGTTTTAAAAAAGTTGTCTAGTACGAGAAGGTTGGAGAAAATTGGGTTATGTCAGTTTGACACCTGTTATGTATTTTTTCTGAGGTTTAGATGGCAAAATATGAGTAGGTGTGGCACAATTGGTGCCTTTGATGCCTTTCTTCTGATGTACATGATATGTGCATTAATATGACAATTGATACTTCAGAGCTTCTCTGGTTATGGATATCAGACCAGAATCTTTTGTCTAGGTAAGAAGGACAGATATGTACCTTCATATGTTTAAAGAAGGGAAAGTTTGATTTTAGAGACAGACAACAAACAAAGGAAAAGCCTTTTCTTCGTCTGTCGATAGGAATTTGATATGGATTTGATACTGTGATAAGAACGCTTCTTTGTGGTTAACACAAGCTTGGCTTCTCCGCTAAGTAAGCAGGCGTGTTTAAAGGGACGCTGTTACGAGGTTGTTTTCTGAGCGTGCGATTTGTTTTCCGTTATGTACCCGATGCCCGCAAGATCAAAGGTGTTTGGCCCGTGTTACATTTCAGGGCATTGTGCGTGAGCGTAGCCGGGCTGGAGGAAGGACTCTAGTCTTACGGCGGGTATTCTCCGACGCCCGAGATGTTTGAGTAACTCTGAATAGCAAACACTTCAGCCTGGGTACAACTGAATAATGTAGATATAGTGGTGCCCTGGTCAAATGTAACCGTATCTTACATCAATAACATATGCACTGACCACTGCTTGACCCCATTTTAACGACACATCCTTCGATATTTGTACAGTTATCCTCGCCTTTCACGTTTAGGGAAGCTACGTAGACTGTCTGTGTCCAGTTTGCTAAAAGGATTTCCTCGACTGAATGTCTCAGTAGATAGGATGTTGAATGGTTTTGACAAGAATTGAGGCAGTATCATGTCTCAGTAGCTCTCAATAGCGCCGGCACCCTTTGCGGGACCTTCTAAACGTTATTCACGAGAACCGGTGTGACTTCTACCAATCCCAGGACAGGTGTTCTATTGAATCCGGGGCTAAGATTAGAGAAGTGGCCTCCTTGTTGCCAGCTCTTTTTGTCCCTCCCCCGTGTCCGCTATCAAAATACAAGCTTCTAAACATTTCATTACTTCTTGGGGAACAATGGCCATGGGGGTAAGCGGTGCTTTTCTTCCCACACAGAGGCACAGGGGCTAGATACAATTAAGAAAGCTGAAGAATTGAAAGGCAAGGGTAGTTGAGTGTCGCAG